TGCTCGTTTTACGGACAGTCTGCAAACACACCTGTAACTCCATCTAGTTCACCGTTAAAAGGCTCCGCCTGCTGGAACAACCAGGTACTACAGCTAGTCTGTGACACAGTTTCTGACAGTTAACCCGCAGGTTCTTCATCTTCCTGCTTCTGCTATTTTATTTTTAATTGAGTAAATTAGAATAGATTTTAGTCATTTTCTAAGTAGTCATTAACATTCCTAGTTGCACTGCATTCCATTCTCTTAAAACCTTCAGTAGGGAGCACCAGTGCTAACAGTGTCCAGTTAGTCTGGAGCCATGTTTAATGCACCACCTCCATCCACTATGACCTCAGTAATAAACATAAAACAGAATCCCCAACTTTCTGAGGACTTCAACAAAAAACTTGAATATATAAGAAATATAAGTGTGTTACCTCTTGGTGTGGTAGTCACACTCCATGCAGACGTAGGAGGTGTTTAGGACGACATCGGGATGCTCCGTGTCCACGTGCATGGTAAACTGGTTGAGCTCTGACGTCTGGAAGCTGCAGTACTTGCACTCGTATCCTCCCTCGGCCGTGTTCAGGTCCAGGTAGGCTTCTGAGGCCACGTCACGTCTGTCGTCGGCCTCCTCGCCTCGCTCCTCCAAAGTCTCGGAGGAGGCCGTGGCCACACCGTTGCTGTCCTCTGGTTCCGCTGCACCTGTCATGTCCTCCATCTCCTGATCTGAGTCGAGGGGTTCTCGAGGAACCATGCAGGGGGTGGTGGATTTCCTCCTGCTCGCCATCCTGAGTTTCAATGAGCGCTGCGTTTAGCTGAATATTGAAGCTGTCTCAGTTCAAGCCGTCCTGTTGTAGCTCCATAAAGTATGATGCCGTCAGTCAAAATGTTTCTTCGGTTCTCCTCAGATCCTGCAGCCAGAAAGTAGCAAAGCATTAGCTGGTGTTGTTGTAGAGACTTTGATATGGAAACCTGTTGAGCTTCTTCATACATAAAATTGGAACTACTAGTGAATAAAAACAAGTCCTGTAGATCTCTTTGAGTTAAGTCAATTGTTTCATCTACACCGTCAGACAACACTTTTAGATTACATCTGATCCATCCAGGTTTATTAACAGGCTGCAGACTGTCGGCTTTTAACCCTACACAGGACTATTTTCAGGCTCATTTCACTACTTTAATATCTTAGTCATTACACAGAGTAGCCCCACATGCTGTATCTTATTCATTTCATGATCGTGTTGGCTATCAGACATTCCATCATTTGATACAAAAATACTTGCTTTTTTTTTTTATATTGGCCTTTATATGAAATACGGGAAAAGAAATGTTATTATGAAATTGTTGGATTTTGACATGTATTTCACCATAAACTGCTGGTAGTAAAGATATCTTATCGTATTTTTATGATATAAAAATAAGTAATAGTTTGGCAATATCACACCTATGATGGTGGGATACTGTATGACTGAGAAATTGGTAGTTCTCTGAATCCAATTTAGACTATTTTCTAATTTCTTTTCTCCTCTATGACAGTAAATTGAATATCTTTGGTTGTAAACAAAACAAGACATTCATCATGTCTGGGCTTCAGGAAACACTGACTGACATTGTGCACCTTTTTCTGACATGTTATAGACCAAACAACTGATCGATTATTGGAGACAACCAACAGGTTAATTGACAATGAAAATAACTGCTAGTTGCAGCCCTAATTGGTTAAGTGTTTAACTGAATCCCCCCCTATAATAAAATCAAATAAACTCAACAGATGATTTCAAAGGTTAAAGCAGTTGCTTCCAGTCATTTTGACAGCTGGAAATGTTAAGAAGTGTTGGTAGTTTTACTGTAAACTAAACTTTTTAACTGTAAACTAGAGCTCCAATCATTAATCAGTAAGTTGTCAACTACAGTTTAATTGATTAGTTGTAGTCATTTTTAAAAGAAAAACTGTCACTGCAGCTATTTAAATGTGAACATTTTCTGTTTGTTCTCCTCCTCCGTGACATTAAACAAAATGTATTCGGGTTGCGTACCAAACAAGACTTTTGACACGTTCAGATTTGGGTTTGAGCTCACAACAATTAATGAAATTAAGTTCACAAAGTTTTTCTAAGATGAAATCAATGGTTTCCAGTGATTCTGACAGCTTGGGGCCCAGCAGCACAGATGTTTCTCAACTGTTAGCAGACTGATTGTTTTCTGTAAAGAACTGTAAACATCCCAAATTTCAAAATTAAATCAGAAATTAGAAAGACTTCCTTTCCTCTCCCATTACAAAAACTGGTAATACTTGTGTACCAGTACTTAAAGCAGGATGCTGAATGCAGTACTTTGACTTGTAATGGAGTACTGTGAAACTACGGTATCGTTACTTTTACTAGAGTAACACGCAAACACAGAAAACAGACTTTGAGCAGCAGACTGGAGGTTCTCGTGTTTTGTCAGCTAGCTTACTTTGAGAGAAATAAAGAGGAACAACATCTCCAGCTAACGTTAGCTAGCAGCGGTGTGTTAGCAGCACAGCTCCCCGCCGGTGGCAGCGGGTTGGCGGCTGGAACACGCACCGAGTCAGTCCGCTGTCAGCTCCGGGTGTGTTTACCTGCTCAGTCGGTCCCCGTTGTCCTGCATCCTGGAACAAACAGTTAGCTGGCTAGCGGCTGTAGCCGTGTAGCATCTCCGGTTCGAGCTGTTGATGCGCAGTCTTCCGCCTTTCACCCACCGAGGAGCCCATCTGCTTCAGCCGGACTCAGAGCCCTCTAACGGCCGGCCGCACGCCGACTACCGCCCGCTAGCTTTGGTTTGGGTCAGCGCCGCTGGTTCCAGCATTGTTTATTGTGTTGTTTTGTTAATGAAAATGACAGTTTATTAAAGAAAGGCACCGATAGTTCAGCGAATCCAACGATGGACATTTTTCATTTTTCTACCGCCGCTACGAGCAGCAACGGCTGACTAACGAGCTCCGTCCGAGCCCTTCACAGTAAGAGCCTCCCTAAAGGCTTCACGAGGAAATTAAGAAACATTTCTTTCGAAAACTAAATAAACAACAATAACAATAATAGAAAAAAAGGGAGAAAAAAAACGCCACCAAAAGACACCACTACACGAAAAAAGACAATGTCCCCATAAAAATTGTGATCATTGAAAAAAGAAAAAAAAGAAAAAATAGAAAATTACCATAACAGACTTCTACAACAAAAGCAACATCCCAGTAAAGGTATATAACAATAATAAATACAACACTAAAATAAACTTCCACAGCAATAATAACAACGTCCATAGTGTAATATTAATGTAATAATAGAAAAGAAATATAAAATACACAGCAATAATAACTACTACAGCAAAAATAGTTGTGCCCCCATAAATATGCTATATAATAACAATAATGTTCATGATGATGACAAATAGAAAAAGTACAAACCCAACTATGATAAACTACGAGAGCAAAAATGTCTACATTTAAAGCTATATAATAATACTGTTACTACGAAGAATAACATAATAAAGAAACTTTATTGCTATAGCATTATTCAGAACTATAATTACAACACACTTCACAAAATAGAGGAAACAAACATTTTTTTAAAGACAAAATTAGTAGCTATAGTAGGAAATTAGCTAAGCGTGTCATAAACTATAATATTTCACCTAACATCCAAACATACATCCTTGTGGTGCATATTATTATTTGTATTTTTTAATTAAAACGTAATATGTTATATTGACAGAGAATAAACCTTGAAATAGGCAACACAATGGATCAGAAGCTTAAAAGAAGAATAAAAGGAAAATGATTTTAGATTTAAGTACGTGCAGTTTTGTGGATTTACACTCAGTTCTGTTTTACAGCTGCTTTCCATCCATTTATTTTGAAGGCGTCTCTGTAAAGCGGAACGTCCCTCGGCGTACTGAGGTCAGTTTGTCACACCGTACGTCAGGGCAGAAGGCTGGTGTGCGTCATTACGTCACATGGACGTCAAGAGCGTGCGGCGCAGCAACTGTGTACTGTCAAAGTAGGCCGATACACGGTGTACTGACGGAGTTATGCAAGAAGTTGGAGCACAGACTGACCTGTGAGACAGTTTATATTTACACATCCAGAGGAAAAGCTACGAAACACGACTTCTGCATAAACATCTGATTCAAACAGAAAATGTACGACAACTGTCTGCAAATGACCACTAAAAGTCAAAGCAGCAGAATGACCTGTCACAGTTTACTCATGTACGTTTGTATGTTTGTATTGCTAAAGCGTCAGCATAAAGCAGAAGTTTAATGTTGCAGCTGTTTGGAATATTTTATACACAGTTGGGTAGTTACATCCATGCAATTTGGAATTTTCAAACTCATTGTATATTATAAATTATTATTATTATTTACAACATCCCCGAGAAAATTCTATTTATCAATAACAACAACAATAATAATAATAACAATAATAATAATAGTAATTCTAAAATATAACATACAACACCACTGTTGTAACTACTACAGCAACAATGTCTCCTTAAAAACTATATAATAATAATATTATAATTACTATTATATTAAATACAGCACCGTAAAAATAAACCATAATTCTAAAATATAACATACAACACCACTGTTGTAACTACTACAGCAACAATGTCTCCTTAAAAACTATGTAATAATAATATTATAATTACTATTATATTAAATACAGCACCGTAAAAATAAACCACTATACCAAAATAAAAATGTCTAAAAAATTATATATTGATGATGCTAATAATTTAAAAAATATGAAACACATAAACACAATGATAAACTACTAGAGCAACAGTAATAATGTTTAAAAAATATGTTTTTAAGGAACACGAAATCTAAATAATAATAATTGTTATTATTTATTTCTACAGCACTTCTCAAAAACAGAGTAACAAGGGGCTCTACCAAAAACATTGAAATATTTTTTTTAAAAAAGGCAAAAATTAAAACATTAAGAACAACATTGAAAAATATTGTGCAAAAGCCAGTCTGTGCTGTTTGGTTTTTAAGATTTTTTTTTTTTTACACTGAGGCACTATTATAAATAAATAAATAAATGAAAGCAGCTGAGTTTGAAAAACTATATTTTAGGTTTAAATAGACATCAAAGTAGCTGGAATCTATACTGTAACTGTACAAATGGTACACCACTGATGATTTAATATGAACACAAAACACATTTGAAACAACCTAATTCAACAAATATTATGAATAAGTTAAAATTTCAACGAAAAATAGTAAACATGAGAGATTTAGCGCCAAATGTAACATGTGTTATTAACCTTTTAAATGTTTTTCTGCTGAGACTGAAGTGCTTCCTGCTGTTTGGTTACAGGTGTAAACATGAAGGAGCTTCACTGTCGATTTTGTTCAGTTTTCACTTCAGTTAAGATCAAAACAAACATCTGGCACTAAAAAATGATGTCGAGTGACACATCTGCTGCACATCAGGAAACACACACACAATGACTTCAATCAGCTTTCGATCACACTTTATTAAAACTCATATCATGAAAACACACTCTGCATGGTCATAAATATTCAAATTTTAAATTAAAATATAACATTTGCAAGTATTATATATATTAATCTCCTATGAAAACATCATATGAATAAATACTCTATAATAAATATCATCTGACAGAATAAATATTGAGGTATTTTGGATTGTTGATGTGTTTCTTGAACCAAATGTCGAAGCAAGAGGAGTAAACAGCTACATGTTTGAATGCACTGAGGTTTTATTAAAATAGACCTGCTGTCGATCAGGAGAAGCTGTCGATTTCTGTCTTCATTTCCTGGAAAAACAAAAAAGAAAAACTGAAACTACAACGCATATGAGCACTGCTGAATGTGATTCTGACACATGAAGCGGAGGAACAGCGCATTGGTTTTGTGGGTCGTCGTACCTTTATGAGTTCCGTCTTGTTGTAGTTGTTTCTGTGTCTGTAGATGCACTGAGCCAGCAGAGCGTACAGCTTCTCCAGCGGCTCCACCTCGGCGCCGTCAGTTTTAGCCACGGCTTTGTTCAGGAGATCCTGACAAACACAAACAATGACTCTACTGTGGAGCTGTGACGAGTATTCAAATAATCGATTAGTTGTTAACTGTTTAATTAATCTTATTATCAGTTTGAGTCACAAATGTCTAAATTCTCTGATTGCAGCTGCTTAAATATTTTCTTTCACAGTAAACTTACGATCTTTGGGTTGTGGACAAAACAAGACATTTATCATCATTTTCTGACATTTTATAGACCAAACAAGTCATCAAATAATCAAGAAAATGACCGACATACGAATTGACAAAACAGATTTGAACTGATTCAGCCCCACTCTACCAGCAGGTCACCATTCGCCTGGTTTCACACCTCTGAATCATTTCCTGTTGGTCCTCCCTCGTATGTTTTAGGTACTTGTTTAAAACGTGCAACACACTCAACAACATGTTTCATCTGTGACCTACGAACCAGTATTGTGGGTGAGAGAAAGCTGCAGCAGCTTCCTGATGGTTTCCTGTCTGTAAGCAGCAGTGCTGCAGTTTATCCACCTGCTGCTGAAGATGCAAACAGTCTGTGGTTATTATATCGCACCAAACAGAACCAGTCAGCAGACATGCAGTGATGCTGCGCAAATGAGCTTCTGCAATAAATGCTGCTGTGTTTGCCATCGGTTCATGCTCTGTACGTGTCCCTGAATAAATAAACATTTGTTGAACAAGACGACTCTAAATGAAAAAAAAAACCACATTAATGCCAATAATCACCAGAATTAAAAGCTGGTGTGGAGCAAGTTTATTTAAATCTTTAGCTGATCTAAAGTTTTTATATCACCACCAGTGTGTGTAGAAATGTCCACCAAAAAAAAACACTGTCATTAAATAATTTATCAAATCAGTGAAGTGCTTTTCATTTAGTACCTCCGTTTATATCTACACCCCATGTTGAAACAAACAGTGCTTTTCATGGTGCTAACCTCTTCGCATATTCTCTCCTCACGTGACGCGCAAATAGTTCCTCCTCCACCATCAAGGAGGATCTTTTATTCCGTTAAAGTATCTTGAGGAGAGAGGAAACAGGTGTGTCCGACGCACAAGTCTTGTACCAACTGGTGTAACAGCTCCACATTCGTGAACGTCGGTTTAAATTCACAGGAGATGCAGCTGTGCAGCACCTCAGGAATGAATGGTAACAGTGATGCTATGGAACAACGCATTTGAAATATTTCTGCTATGGAACATTTCATATCTTTCATATCTTCACAGTCATAACAAGAGTTATGACTGGAATAGCTGTGTTGGAATATTTGCACGCAGGGAGACAAGCTCTGTAATTAGAGTGGACGATTTACTGCAGGGGGCTGCAAGGTGTCGCAGTTAGTAGCAGTGTTGCCTCGCAGCAAGAAGGTTGCCGGTTCGCGTCCCGGTGGGGGCACCGGAATCTTTCTGCGTGGAGTTTGCATGCAGTGTGGGTTCTCTCCGGGTTCTCCGGCTTCCTCCCACAAGGTCCAAAAACATGTTGAGGTTAATTTGTGATTCTAGTGTAGCCCTGTGATAGACTGGTGACCTGTCCAGGGTGTCCCCTGCCTTCGCCCTAAGTCGGCTGGGATAGACTCCAGCCCCCCCGCAACCCTAATGAGGATTGAGCGGTGTATAGATAATGGATGGATGGATTTACTGCAGAAAACAAGCAGAGCTGCCTTACTGCACCATCCACGGCAAAGTCCAAGTCCACAGTAAATCCTTCATATCAGTTTCATTTTCAGTGCGGATGTTTGTGGACAAAACGGTAACACACAGACAGCGGAAGGAAGGGAGAATGTCGACTGAGATAGTCAGCCAATAGCAGGCTTATACTGGCAGCCTACATCCTGTGAGTCAGACTCCCCGTCATAAGAAGCTACAGACGGTAACAGCTGCTGTAGAAAACCATCCAATCACACAAATACTGTTGAGCACCAACTCACCCTCAGTTTGTTGTGGTCGACGACCAGCGGTGGCGTTTCGTCAGACTCCACAGATCTGTCTCTGTTGAACAGCTGCATCTGGTCCAGGGCAGCCTTGGTGGCTCTCGTCTCACGCTTTCTCTGTCTCCCTGAAGACGAATACATGAAGACAGTCGTGATTTATCCTTCAGTTTATCACTTTTAAAAGTGGTGCAGAGGTTGGTGAGCTTTTCAAAAAGGTTGGTTTAGCCAAGCTGGGAGAGGAGCAGAGCTGCTGCAGTGGGGCTGGAGGTGGAGTCAGTTCAGTCACATTTATGACCTTTAAAGAGATTCTTTAGCTAAACACAGGATAAAAATGAATGCCAGTCTCGGCACCTCACAATTAAACATTAAAAAAATCTCAATGATTTGATGAATGAAATCAAAACATCTGGACGTGTATAAAAAAATAAAATGCATCAATGATTGGACTAATGAAAAGTGATGAACACAAGTTAATTTACTCCCTGATCCCCAAAACTCAAAGGCATGTTATTTTTTTCAAATAATCACCAAAATCACACCATTTATCAGCCAGAAACTGTAAAACCACAATGAACTGTTGTTTACTGCAGGCAGTGTCTACAAAGAGCAGATATGTAAGCAGTAAAATATAATACGTAGAGTCGCCATTTTTCCAGTTTTAGTAAAACCTGTGGACACTTGGGAAAATGTTGTGTCCACTGATTTCAGGTTTTTCAATTTTTGTAAAATATGTAGTCAAAAATGATTTATAGCACTATGTGTCTTACTGTACAGAGGATATTTCTAAGCATTCTCCGCTTCTAGTCATGGTTGTGGTGATTCCTTACAGGTGCAGGACTTTGTATATCAGTGAAAAATTAGCCCACTTTGTGGAAAAGCATTACAGAAACAAAAGGTGTCCAGGAGCTGCTTGGTGTACAGAGGGTTGGGGTTAGAAGTGAAAGGAACATCATATTATTCATTTCAAAACTGCCACTTAAGGCCTGTAAACATCCCAGGCACCTGCACTAACAGAACGCAGTAAATAATAACCAGGAAGCCAGTATTAATCATGTACACAGAGTTATGCAGAAGCAGATTTCATGTAAACCTCACACAAACCGTGTTGAGCGTCACGTAAACAAGCTCCTACGTGGAAGTAAAATCATCCTTTCATGTAGCCAGAACCAAAAAAGTCACGTTATGAAGTGTACATTTCTGTGAGGGTTCGAGAAACTTCTGCTTTCAGTTCAGCTTTGAGGAAGCTTTGCCTGAAGCCCAAAGCTCTGCAAAACCTCCCAGTGATGCTTGTTGAGCAGCAGCAGCAGCAGCAGCAGCAGCAGTAGTCCTACTTTCAGTAGGTGTTTTACACACTTTCCATCTGCAGCTTTGCAGCTCAGTCAGTCTGGTGAAGCGCAGTTAGCAAGGACAGGCACTCGCACACTCCCAATTTCTGTTAAACATACAGACCTAGTTTGTTCAAATTACTCCTGTTTAGTCTCGTATTGGCGCTCTGGGTTCGATCCCTGAGGTTCAGCCTCCTTGTTGGGACTCTGTGAAGTGGCTTGTGATGGTAGCCATTCATGAGGACTCCATTTTGGGCTCCTGTGACGCCGTTTAAGCAGTGATGGTAGCCGTTCAGAGGGCCCAGCTCGCCGTCACTGCTGTCTGACATGCTAGATGAGCTCGGACCAGCAGAACTAATGACCCCTCTGCTGTCCTCTCTGCTCGATTCAGAATTGGCCTTGCTGGACGTGGAGGAGGAACTCGAAGTTGGGGTGGGTGTCTTTTTCTTCTTTGATTTCTGAATGACGCCGGTGCTCCACTTGGACTTTCGGGGAGGTTTGTAACGCTTTTTCTTACGAGCTGGAAAGAGAAGTCAGAGGAGGGTTGGGAGTGGAGGAGAGGTCATTAAACAGCAGAACAACCTCCTCTCCTCTACACTTGAGCTCCTCATTTTCTCTTGACTTTTCCATTTAACTTGTCTGCTCTTGTGCTGAAGCTTCCTCGTCCTCCTCGTCTGCTCTGCTTTGACTCTCATGTTTAAATGAGGAGCCTCCTGCAGGTTCCTGCAACTTTACCTTTCCCTTACTTTCACTATTTTTTATAAACGCAGCCATATTTTGAAAAATATCTTTGTGTTGCAACACAGCAGCCAAACGACCCCCAAGAATTTGTTTAGAAATATGGCTGCAGATACAATTTAAAGAATAGAAAAGCTGAGATACCTCTCTGCTACATTGACAAGACCAAAAGTAAACCTCTAAAATTGACCTTAATATTATTACTGCTACAACATTGTAATTTTACTCATTTAAAAACAGCGTTGCACTCTGGGGCCAGAAAACAAATCTGATGCACTAACATGGTACATTTTTGTATTTCTTCAAGAGCTGAGGCGAGGACTCACAGAATATTAACTGCATCTACCATACATGATTAATTAATGGATCATTCAATTAAAAATTCATCATTCCAACATTTAATGGCCCCAGCTTCGAAAATGTCAGGAATGTTTTTGCATCAAATGATCTCAAACTGAATATTTTTGGCTTTTGGACCTTTGGCCAGATAAAAAGAACAAGCAAGTGGATTTTGTGAAATTACAAAGGACGCTTTTTATTATTTTCTGGTATTTTATTTTATAGACAATCCCCTCTTGGTTTTAAAACATTTAAAAATGTCTCTGAGTGTAAATAATTAAGTGTCTTCCATGTGCAAAATTGATCAAATATTTACTGCCATTGAGGCTCTGACTGGGGCATTGGCTCGAACGCAATTTAAGCAAAACTAAATTTATGTGAAGTTATTCTTTTAAAGTCTTTACATTACTGAGGGTAAATATTTTAGGGCTGTCCAGATGGACTGGTTGGCTAGTTGGTCGACACGCTCTCCTAGCAAATCATTGTTAACAGCTGCTTGGCTGAAGAGTCAGTCCGATTTCAGTCCACTAAGATTTTGTTTGGTTGACTACAACCGTCAAATATTTGTAGTTTCGTGCATCTATTTAATCACATACATGAACAGCTTTTGCAATAAAGCATTTACACTGATGTGCTCACTTTGTTGTAGTTATTGTAATTTTACTACTTTCTAGTTGGTATGTAGGACTCTGTTCTGTACATGCAGAGCAGATCTCTACGTATTCCACATTATGCACACTACTGCCCTTGTACGTATAGTGTAGCTGCCATGTGGACACAAATTCTAAACTACATGGTCATTGTTACAGATTTGAGCAGATGAAAAAATGTACGTTACGTACTCGCAGACTTGGAAAGCACAACACTGGCCTTAGAGGGCAAATCACTGAACATCAAAGAGGCAACAATGAAAGAAAAGTGTGTGTTTGTGTGAGAAACTCAAGTTCTGTTGCTGTTCAGATTATGTTGCGTTTGTTTTCAGGAGCTTTAGGTTGGACTTACATTGAGGACTGTCTCTGGGGAACAGCGATCTGCAGACACCGTTGGCCACCTTTGGGTTGACTCCAGTCCCGTATGAAAGAGCTGCCATCAAAATAAAAGTCTTAGCTTGTGGTTCAGAGGTTCAAACACATGCAGTAAGCAGTGACTCACTGAGGTCTGAAAGGTTAGCTTATTTCTTTTTCGGTGCATTTTAAGACTTAAATCCAGTGTTTTACTGCTGTGGTTGTCATTATTTGTAGGTTTACGGCTGAAGCTGAACCATCACTGCACACTTATGAGCTCCAATTGAAGCTCAAGACACTAAAGTGACAGAGAAGAAGAAGTTTCACCTCTCTTGATGCGAGACTCTCTGATGTCCTCACAGACTCTCTCAAACTCTTCGTCCAGCTCATCTCTGATGATGGCTCGTATGGTGTCCTTCAGGGCGTACGCTCGGTGACGGATGTGGCGGTCTGACACACACAGTCACACACAAACAGTAAAACACAAGGTCACTTTTCACTGTACATTATTTTGGGCATGATTCCTCAAACACGTAACTACAGCTCTGTACTGTTCACCAGACACTGAGGATTATTTTCTAATACAAGACCACCTCTCCACAGTGAGCAGGTGAGTTCAGGTGAACAACTTGCTTTTCTTCTCCTCTCAATAGAAGACATTTCAGAGGATTTTCTCTGCAAATAAAACCCACCCTGCTTAGTGACTGTAACTAACAAATGAAATCGATGCAGCAGCTGAGATTTCCCCTGGAATCCCCTGCTGAGTCTGAGAATTAGATCATGAACAGCAAGAGAAGCCTGCGGTTTTTGAACGTCACAGGAGATATGAGGCCAGTCTATTCAGTTCTCTTGTATATGGTTTGTTCGAATATGTTGTGAATGGATCCTATTGGCTGTCTCACCCATGGGGTCGCTGTTTGGGTTGTACTCGAGAGCGTTCTGCCAGATGAGGTCTGCGTCTGACACGAACTCGCCGACAGTGACGTACTTGTTCTCGTCGATGTTGGTCAGCAGCGCAGAGAGGTCCATGGGCTTCTTGACCACCATGAGGTAGTCCGGGACCTGGAGGACACCAAAGCAGAGGAACTGTGAGATTTTTGGAAACAGGTTCTGCTTGTGGTTTTACACTTTGATATAAAACATCTTGGAATTACTTATTGTTTGGGGACTTTTTTGCCAGTTGTTGCTTTTGCTCCATTTCTCAATGAAAAACGAACATTTACAAAGTAAATCAGCGAGATGAGAAAAGTAGCGTCGGTTGCAAGATAACACACATACACGGGACACACAAGTTTTATTTTGGACTTTCTAACCTGACATAAGGTTGGATAACAAACACACGATAGGATTCCCAACATTAGGATTTGCTTCTGTCAAAACAAAATAAACTTAACTCTACCCTCTAAAAGCTCAAAGCCTGCTGCAGGGTTTGAAAGGCATAGTATCTTTAAATAATGACACCATTTATCAGAAAATGTAAATACTGAAAAAAAAATCACCAGATATTCTTTCAAAACAACTTGAAATATTCACGTCCAGCATGCGGTTCCGTTGGGAATATTAAACAAAAAAAGGCAAGCTGAATATCACAATCACTTTATTCTACATGTCTCATTACCCCAAAATAGACTGTTCATACCAGATTCTGTAAAAGGCAAACATTCTGTGCTCCTTAGCACAACCTAGAAGCCATGAGTGACTCAGCCATGACCAACACAGGACAAAAATGTACAGTTTTCAGGTGGAATGCAGGCTGTGTTTACACAGAGGAGAGAGGAGACAAAAAAAAAGATACTGAGAGGAAAATAAAAAATATGACAGGGGTAAAAAATACAAGTTTGAGTTCAGAAGACTTAAAATCTGAAATTTATCAGCATCGGGTTCTGTCTCTGTAGGCCTTTTCCGTCCGTGATCTCCCCCAAACTCAGAGCTATTTTCCTGAGCTTTAGGGCTTTTTGGTGCATATAAACCACAGATAGAAATATAAACAGTGCAAGCTGCCATCACCATCCATCCAGGATTTGCGGGGGCATCAACCTCCAGAACTTCTACTTGTTACTGACCAGTTGTTCTGTCTTTTATCTAGTGTGTTTCCTTCAACAAAGACTCTAATCCTTTGCAAGATGCAGGTTTTCGCTCATCTTCAGGTGTGTAAGGTAAACTGTTTTAGATTCATAGATGTGTAAGTGTGTCTGAGTACTTCTCATCCACTAAAATCATAAGTATGTTCTTGTCCTGTGAACAGCTCAAAGTAAAACATCACCTGTTTGCTCAATATTCATTAAATTATAGCCTTCTGTGTTTTGAGCACAAACCTCCTCGATGTCAACCGGTTTGGTGAAGGCCTTGAAGCGGCGGTCCAGACTCAGGCGCTCGGTGATGTTACGCAGGAAGAGGCGGAGCTCCCGCAGCACATCCTCCTCCTGCTCCTGCTGACGGAGGCGCTCCTGCTCCGACAGCTGACGGGGGGGAGGAAGGGGAGCCACGGGAAGGATCTCCATGTCCTGAGTCACTGAGAGGGGAGGAGGACGAAAATATAATGGTTTAACTCAATTGGTTAGTCCATCTCAAAGCATCAGGGGCTTTCTGCTCCACCAGCTCTGATTTGTTTAAAACTTTTTTTTCATGAACTGCGGGTATTTAAAATAGTATCTGTGAAATTTGAGAATGATAGATCAAGTACTTTCTGAGACAACTTTTTTTTTTTTTTTTTTTTTTTTCAAGTTGCCTATCACAGCTTGTCACCTCCTCAATCAGTTCTGAAAGTTAGAAGAAAAGAACTGTCTTTTCATTTTTGTGACCAAGTGTTTCATCTTAAAAACTATTGCATATGTTTTGTTGTACATTATTGTGACATGAAACCACATATGGTTCAGAAGTTATCAGGGGCTGACTAGGTATTAATGTGAGCTCAAAGATGGAACTTTTCATGACGGCTTCAATTATTTTTTTTTCATATTTCAACTCACCCACAAGCAAATCAATTTTGAATCAATGCCATGATGAGAAAAAAATGCAATAATTAAATAAAATAAATAAGTTTTATCCTCAATAGCTCCTGAAATCTTGTCATTCAAACTTAGTCTCATATTTCAAGGTACGAAAAAGTGTGCTGAAAGTGGGTTGATTTATTAAAACAAATCTACCTATCTGATTATCAAGGCAACATTTGACAAATATCTTTCTAAATATCCATATTTCATGCTATATTTTTTTAGATAAATTAGAGCTGGGCAAGTACAAAATGGACCTGAAACAACACAATCTTAAATTCAGATCAATCCATAAAATTTTTGATGCTTAACTCTACACAGTTCAACGAAAACACCCTAAACTGAAGATTCTGAACAACACAGTCACGTACATGCTTTTTTCTTGGAGGGGGGAGCCTCAGCTGCCTGGTTGAGAAGGAGATCCTGGAAGAAGTTTATCCTCTCCCGCTTGGTGGGAGCGCTGATGGTGTAAACTTCTCCATACTCCTCCCGAAACAGACACTGGATCTGACGATAGAACACGAAAGACTTTAAAGCACTTGTTTAATATCAGAGGGATAAAAACTGCTAAGCTATTTAGCCTGTTGTGGAGAAAAACAATTAAGATATGGGAGTAAAACTATTTCAGACTCGTTGTTTCTTGCTCTTGTGTAACTTCAGGCCTTACCTCCGGGTCAAGCTCCTGATGGGGGACACTGCAGGTGGCAAGGAGGAGGATGGGGGAGAATGAGGGGATGCTGCCCAGCAGACTGAGGAAGGAGGCCCTGAGCGCCTGCCCTGCTGTGTCCCACCACTGCTGGATGTGGGGGATGTAGAGGATGCTGGGAGACGTTCGTTTGGCCTCACAGAACACCTGATCAGAGAAGACATCAACACTTACCTCCTAGAAACTGAAATCCTGCACAAATCAGTTGTTTTTCAGCATTTAACTGCATTTCTTAAAAGTTTTTCCAACACATTTTGTTAGTTTTCTGTTATTGAAAGACAGTAAACTACTAATACCACACAAAACAAATCACATCATGCATGCTGCAGATGCCTCTCATCACCATCAGATGTCATCAAAGGACCGCTCTTGCTCCAGTCATGTCCAGATGTTCAAGAAAGTAAAGCAAACCCCATTGACTTACGGTCATCCTCAAGTTTATTCATACCCTTTCTTGAAAGAAAAGGCAAAATTCACAATAGTCACTCAAATAACTAGAAACTGAAAAAAATAATAATAAATAAAAAATTGCTAAATTATAATTTTGTGAAATAAGACATTGCTTTTGAATTGTGGTTGAAAAGAATTTTTTTAAAAAATAAAAAAAACTGTCCAGGACAAATTAGAGCACTTTGCTGATGAGCAGTGGACCAAAATCAAAATACCTGTCAACAGATGCAGAAGTCTGATTGAGAGTTACAGAAAACACTTGATTGTAGTGATTGGCTCAAAGAATTGTTCAACAAAATATTAGTTTACAGGTCCCATCAGGCTTGTTTGCTTGTTTTTTTTAAAAAATAAATATATTTCTGTTGAACCACAATTCAAAAGTAATGTCATGATTTTCATTACATTTTTATTTATTTTTGCTTTTGTCAATTTCAACTTATTTCAGTGACAGCTGTTTATTTCTTTCTTTAATGGGAGGTTATGAATACATTTTCAGTATAACTTTCATTCAAGTTATCTAAAGTAAGACAAGAAGAGGGCAAGCCCCAGTAATTCTCCACATGTGTTTTTACAGTGTATAAAACAGATTGCAGATTTTCATTTCACTTTTTGTCTGAGGATAACTCTTCCACTCACCTCAGCTGAAGAAAATATTACTTGTGGGTCCCTACTAACTCCTATTTGAAAGGTCAGTTGAATTTTTCACAATAGAGCTGATAAAAAATTTCATCTACTGATCGTTCAAGTCATTGTTCAGGCAAAAATCAAAGAAGTTCTGGTTCCGGCTTCTCAAATTGGAATATTTGCTTTTCTACAGACTGTGAACCTGCTGTCTTGGGCTTCAGAGAATAACTATGGGAGTACTTTACTGTTCTCTGGCATTTTACACACTCAACAGTCAATCAGTTATTAACCCACTGAACCCCAAACCCACTGGAAAGTTTAAAAGGCATGTTTCTTGACAAAAAATCTGAAACTGAAATTTTAAAAAGCTTAACTGTTGGTAAATTTTAATAATAATTGTTGGTTACATGATGGAATAAGAAGTCCTTGCTCTGGCCCCTGATGTTTTTGCATTTTCTGAGGACCAACAACCCTCCTGTCACATTAAAGTTGCTCAAAACTTTTAGAGTCATTTAAAGGTTCAGTTCAGTACACATGATGGATGCAGTGTTTGCTGAGGAGTCACCTGTGCACAGGCCTCCTCCGGGGAGGTGCTGCTGACTCCAAATAGCACCGCAGAGTCCAGGCTGTGGACGGTGAAACGCTCCATAGCGTGCAGAACGGCGGGGGCCAGGTGGGAGGTCTGACCGGCGCCGGGGCGACCTGCCAAGAGCATTCTGGGCCGGTGAGACGTTGGCTGTTTGACGGCACTCCTGTAAGAAGCACCAGAAAGGTAACAAAAGAGTAAATCTGTAGTTTGTCACAACAGATATTTGAAATACTCCATGACAAACATTTATTATGCATCTGAAATTAAAAAGACCAAGTTTAATCAGGAAAAAAAAACAGTTTGCTTAGTAGTAGGAATTAAGTGACACTTCATTTAATTCTCCTCCCTTTGCACTTATAATCAGTATGTAAATGTTTTAAACATAAGGTTTTTAATCATTTATTAATGTATTTTAATAAAGCTCTAATTTCTCATTCTAAATGTGTTTTAAAAAGGCTTTGAGATATCTGTTGAAAGTTTGCAAAAGCTGTGAAAATATAAACTATTTAACTTTTCTAAGGATTTGTTCATGTGTTTGCTTGAACAGAAAGTTGTTGTTTTATGTTCCAATTTTAGAGCCTGTAGAGTTTATACTGCAGTCGGAGATGTTTCATGTGAAGATGTCATAATAGTTGTTGTCTATTTTCATGAAATCTTGTTGATGAATGCAGAAATTTAAAATGAGGTGTTACCACCTTCTTATGTTCTTTCACTCAGATAAAGACACTTTACTCCAGGTCTCAGTGAAGTTTTGTTCAGACTCACCTGGCAAAGTGCAGGAAGTTTTTGTCCTTGGAGGGTGATGGTGCTGAGATGCTGGGGGTTGTGGAGCCTTCGTCTCCTTCAGACATCAGACCATCATCAAGGATACCAGAGGTCAGATCTGACATGCACAAAACAGATTTGTAAAGCGGATGTGATGTTTTATCAGGACTGCAGCAGATTTGCCTCTACCTTTCAACTGCTACTCACCTGGCTCCCTCTTCCTCTTCATGCCCTGCTCAGCGTGAGGAAACAGCCTCTGCAGAGCCTCCAGGATGTCGCGCAGGGCGGCACCCAGCAGTGGGTGAACCACGGGTGACAGGGGTTTGGCGGGGGAGGCAGCGGAGCGGTGCGAGGCAGGCGACATCTTCCTCATGGCTGCCACAAAGTCACAGCTGCTAACGGCAATGGAGGAGACGTCCAGCAGGAGCTTCTGAGAAGTACCGTAGATCTGTGGGTAGCGACGACGCAATGCGCACAGCGCCGCCTCGGTACACACCGCCCTGATGTCAGCACCACAGTAACCTGAGAAATGGAGGTTCAGGAAGAAAATTCACCAAAAAATGCATTACTGAAAGAAAAACGACTATAAAATCATCAGCAAGGCCACTCTCAAAGGCAAATCAGCAAACAAACTGGATACTCAAGATGTGGTATTCAGGCTCTTATAAAGAAATGTTAATATGTGGAGAGATGAAGGACAAAAAGGAGTGAAAGGTGGAAGAAAACTGTCTACAGAGAAGTTTCCTCTTTGAGAGACTGGAAAAAATTTAGCAAAGAATGTGCTCAGCTTCTGGCAGCAAGAGTTCTGAGGACTGATGAGTAAAAGTTTGAAATGTTCAGGTTCAGTTGATGACAATATGTGAAAAGAAAAGTTGAACAGAGCTACAACAAAGAATGCCGGCAGCCTTCGGTAAAACATGTGGGAGGCTCCATTGTGGTCTGAGCCTGCACATCTGCCTTATTACAGCTTTGACAAAACAACAAATCTAATGATGCCCACAGACAGAACTGTTCATAGCACTTTTCAAAACCAGCAATGATATGAAGAATTTGGGGCAAGACTATTTAAGGCTATATAGACACAAAGCAGGAACTTAAATTGGACTTTAAATATAGTTGGAAGCCATTGTAGTGTCATCATGGGGTGTTGTGAGAGCAACATTTAGTCTCAGTGACTCATGTTGCTGCAGGGTCGTGGACTAACTGTAACCAGGTAACAGCGACTCAATTTAGACAGGAATGCAGAGCATCACAGTAGTGTTAACAGAATGACACAAAACCATGAATAGCCATTTGCAGCTGCTGAAAAGATAACAGAGGATGTATTTTTGCAATATTCTTCAGGTGAAAGTAGCAGGAATGAATGACTGACTCAACATGTTTATCAAATTTTTGTCAAACCTGTCGTCTCAGGTTTTAAATAAAGATTTTCTACTTGTAACTAATGTTTAGAGGTTTTGGAAGATGTTTCCAGAGACCTGATGTGGGGGGAATTATTCTAATAATGAGCTATAATAATGAGTGATTACCAACATCTAATGTACCGTACCAACACATTTCTCAGCCAGTTCTTCCAGAAAGTCTTCAGACGGAGGAGGCTTCCACTGCCGGGTATGGATTTTCAGTATCTCTTTTCGAGACTGAAACACACAGATGGATGAGCTTAAGTAATTTTTAGTCAGAAATCAACAAACAAAACAGATTAATGTGAATTATTATTGTGAATGGTGACAAAACTCTAAACCTCTAGAGTGAAAGCTGTGCCATCATTATGTTAATATATCTCCAACCAGACACAGAATTATAACAGTGATCCTGTGAACATGAGCTCATGTAGTAACTGCCATTTGCTGCATCATATGCTGTATAAATAAAATAATTTAAAAAAAGATGTAATAAAAAAAAAGAAAAAGAAAATAAACTATATGATAACAAGGAGCACAAACTGCCTCATAAAATAAATAAATAAAAATTGTGGGCTTTAGCAATCAAAACATCACAAAGCCTAAAATTCTCAGTACAAAACAAAAGATTGGCAAGTGGAAAAAAAATACAATTAGTTGAATAAAGTGTCACCTCTTTGTCGGGCAGCCCAAACAGGAACTCCCTGTCAAAGCGTCCAGGCCGCCGCAGCGCCGGGTCGATGGAGTCCAACCGATTTGTGGCTCCGATCACCACGACTTCCCCTCGACTGTCCAGCCCGTCCATCAGAGCGAGGAGCGTCGACACGATGGAGCTGCAAGGATTTGAAACATCAATGACTCTTTGTGGTACAGTTTTGTTCAGGAACCAGAGTGATTTGGCACAAATGCTCTCACTCTTATATGTGCTGTGTATGAGATAGAAAGAGAATAAAGCACTTTGGCTCAACAGCAGTTGATATATTTAAATAACAGTGACGGACCTGTGTATCTGATCCTGTCTGCTGGATCGGACCGGAGCCAGACCATCGATCTCATCAAAGAAGATGATGGACGGACGCATCTGATACGCCTGAGGACGACACACAATGAAACACACTCAACCCTTTGCACTCTAAACAACATGCTTAAAGAAAACTGACACTTGTGTTTGTGTTTTAGATCAACGACAGCGACTTTTAAATGTAGGACTTTTTAATACCACATACAGGGTATGTGGTATTAATCCTTAATCCTCTGAACCCCAAAACCTGCCAGTAACACAAAGTCCACCATATCCCAAAAAAAAAATCACTCAAAACACACAACTTATCATAGAAAGATGCTGTATAAGCAGAAAGATTCATCAGATCGCCAACTCTTGTCAACTTATCTGTGGCGTGCCGTTCTGTGGAAAATTTTAACCAAATCCAACCTTAACATTGTGACATTTCAACAAAATCACTTTATTCCACAAGTCCAATTTTAAATTCTGTCAAAAAATAAACTATGTGCGCTAAGAGGATTCTTTGAAAACCCCAAAAGTTATCCGCGGTGCAACTGTCAAGCCACATGTCACTCAGCAGTCTTTGTCAAAAGATTTGACAAAGATTCTGGGACTTTTCAGCTAAACTGCAGGCTGTGTTTACACAGAGCAGAGAGGAGACAAGTTTGGAAACAAATCAAGGATATCAGTGGTAAAATATCTATATTATATTGAGTCACCATTGTTGTAGAATAGTAAAAACACCAGTGGGCACTTTTAAAAATGTTGTACATGTAAAATAAATGATCAAAGAAATTCAACTGTTTTTTTTCTTCTTCTTTTGTTTTATGTTTTATGACATTACAACTGTGTCCTATTGCACAGAAGACATTTTGTGTTCTTCCTATAGCCAGTAAAAAAAGCAGAGGCTCAGGGTTCAGATGGTTAAATACAGTGTAGCCTGCAGTCGTCCAGCAGGGGACAGCACAGGGACGTCAAGTGAACGTTACCTGTTCAAACAGCAGCCGCAGCTGCCGCTCCGACTCGCCCACCCACTTGCTGAGGCAGTCGGCTCCCTTCCTCATGAAGAAGGTGACCTTCCTGTTGCCATGGCTACACTCATTGGCCAATGCCCGGGCAACCAGAGTTTTTCCCGTCCCAGGAAGGCCATAGAACAGACAACCTCTGAAGGGAGACACAGAGTATGTAAAAAATTTAGAAAAGTTAAAACAACTTGCAATACATGTGTGCATTTGTCAGTTTTTTTTCCATGTTTCCTTTATGCATGAGCATCAGCACTGTATATTGCCCCTGTAAATATGTGAATGTGTGTGTGTTCCACCTGGGAGGCTGGATCTTGAAGTTGTCAAAGACCTCAGGGTAGAGAAGTGGGAACACAACCATCTCCTTGAGAGCTGAGATGTGACCTGACAGACCTCCGATACTGTCAAAACCCACCTGAGGAGGGAAAGAAGGGAAAGTGAGGAGAAAATGTAAAATACAGAGCAGAGAACGACAGACGCCAACAGCCAGTTCACTGACAGTTTTAATGGTTTAATATGTCATAACTCACAGACTGATCGATGGCCATTGGATCAATGTCTGCAAGACCTGCTCCTACAGCCATCTTGTCTCTGCGAGTCCCCAGAAGATCCTCTGAATGCAGACCGAGAGGACGACAGCTGGAAGGAAGAGTCACAATCACACAAACATCGGGAACGTGAAGAGTAAAACAGATTTAGACTAATATCTTTTTACATATTTGGAACTGATGTACATTTGCAGTAAAAATGAAAATCTTGGTGTCAATAACTCCAACACTGAATAACTGAATAACTCCAACACAAAACTTGGGCCAATTTATTTTTTGTTTTTCAAATAGGTGTGTAGATAACGTGATTGCTGAGATGATTACAAGCTTAGATTTGGTTACGTTTCCTTATAGAACTAGAAGACACACATGAGGAGCTCAAGGACTGTCAGAAAGTTGAAAATCCAACAATTGTCCTTCTGTTTTTACAGTTACTGATAAATGGTGTAGTTTGGGAGATTTTTTAAAGTCTTTTCGTGATTCTGAGATGAAAACATCCACATTTCCTGCACAGAGCCTTCATATTCTGTGTAAAAACACACAGCCAACATATTTACATACTTACATACATCTTCTGCTAAAATCTTTAAATTCTGGCAAATGTAAGCTTGTAAATCCTGAGAGACTCTTTTCGCTTCCTAAGAAAATGAATGTCACTGTCTGTGGTGAAAAGTGATCTGATCACTTCCAATAAAGGGTGAATCTTTTAGAAAAACAGTTTTGGCTACTGGGCGTTTCCTCCTGAGTTTAGTTACCTTACCTTTGTTTCACCAGTGTATACTTTATTGCTTGGACAACGCATTGTGTTTAACACATTTGTTTGAAAGGTGTTGAGGTCATTTATATCTTAAAACAAGACTTCATCAACTGTATGGCCTGCTATTGTCCTCACAGTAGTTCAAGATGTTCAGGACAAATCAGCAAGTGGTCAGTCAGTTCAGTCAGGTGTAGGAACAGTTTGTGTCATTGTGCTACAGTGAAGACCTTTATTCTACCCACTGACCTGGCCAGTGCTTTTTCGTCTTCGTCATCGGAGTCGTCGTCCTCGTCAGACTGACTGGACCAAGCACTCTTAGTGGGTCTGGAATAAGAAACCAAATAAAAGAATGCAGTAGAAGGTAAAGGGAATGGACTTAGTGGTGAAGTCTTGCTGATAACAAACATAAAAACACACTTCTGTCATCATTCATTTTTCTTTGTCCCAAATTCACATGTGAACAACCAAAACTCATACAAGAGCTATTTCAGATAAATAGTTTACTAACGTACGACATTCACATCTCAAGTGTCCAGAAATAACAGCATTATAAAAATAAATTAATAAACCACATATTGTGCCTTAAAAGTTATTTAACCGCAGGAACCTGAGGCTATTTTCAGGGTAATCATTCAATGTCAACCTTGTGTAATTTCAACAACTCGTATCACCAGAAAGACTGACTTCTGCTGTTTGATATGCAGCCTGTTGTAAAATGATGGGTGACACGTTCAGCCGAGAAGCAGGAGTGTGACAATGGCTGAGTCATAAACATATCAGTTTGCAGAAGTTTGATCTGTCTTTATTACGTTCTCACATTGATAAGTAAAGCATCATTAGCACCGGTTCTGTGCTTTCTTGTGAGATTTGTTCCATAGTCATGCAATGATGAGTTTATTATTATTATTTCAAATGAGAGTAGTTGGCGTGGAGATGGACACACAAAATGATTTTCATGCTAACACGTCGTTGCACAGAGAAGCAACTGTCATGACTACAAAAATCTCATCATGCAGTTTGATTTGATATGTCCTAAATTTTGATGTTTAGGTAGAAAACCCTCATTAAACCAAACTGTGTCATTGCAGACCAGGAGCTGGTTTCACAAACTAACTTTGACTACAGCTAAAATCAAACTAATAGTCAAGTTGTACCAAAACCATAGCTGGCTGAACAACTACATCTAGATCTCTCTTTTGTCCAGCAGAAAACTTCAGAATAATTGACCAGCTACAAGCACATTGTACCAGAAAAATACAGTGAAAAATGTAATAATACAGAAAAAAAAATTGATTTGGAAAAAAAATGGCAGATTATTGCTGTTCTGAAAAACTCTTTCCTGTTTCATTGCTACACAACACTATCAAGAAACCATAAGTTATATATTTTGTCAGCTAGTGCCACTGAGTGTAGTGCAGACAAATCTTAGAGAAACTGGTCTAACAGGTATTTCTCCATAGCACAGCTGAAAGCAGTGTTCATGAGTGTTTGCCACAAACGTTCCAACTGTAGTATTTGTGCTCTACTTTAGACAGAACAGAAAACTTCTGCCCACAGTCTGACCTGAAGGCTCCTCTGCGGCCCGTGTTTGGTCCTGAGGCGCTGATCCGGAAAGTTCCTCTCAGAAGCTCTAATCAAGAGAAAACACCATCAACAGACCTTTAATGTGACAGAAAAACGCTAAATGTTTATTTTTCTACAGCAATGTTTCAGCAGAATCCTGTTCACCATTTGCTGTACCTGCTTATTATTCTTTTCCTATGATGGCATAACACAGGAATACTGTCAGAAGACTGTAATGACATCATATATTATAGGATTCTGCTGTCATATCCAATCCCAAAATACAAACGAAGGAAGTATTGTAATGTTTGTTTCATATCGTGTGCATTAAACATGACATATAGGACCAGGTCTACTCACAGGCAGCATTGTTTTTTTTTTGTTTTTTTTTATGAACACTTATTGCATTCAATCACTAAATTATTCTAACTTGAAGGCTTTTAAATCACTTCCAAATTGAACATTGAAAATTTGCACCTTATAATAAAAAAAATATCAAACATTTGAGGAAATTTAGAGTTTGACAAATATTCTTTTTTTCTTTTTTTACTTAAACATCTCAAAACACTATAAAACAAATTATTTTTCTATATTCTGTATTCACAGCTGGAAAAGTCAAATAACATTTACAGAAACAATACTGGCACAAACTACAGATGAGTTCTGTGTTTTCCAAAACATGTGAGATGCTGTTTCTGTTGCCGCTGTTCATTCAAAAGGCCAACAGGAGACGTTCGATCTTGTAACAAAATGTTCATCTGCCATTTTGATTGTAAATAAAAGGGAATAAGCACTCAATCATCTAAATAAATCGGCATTACAAAACTAAAATCAAATATTAGTTACGTCACCCAAGAGAAGTACCTTAATATACAGCATCATGGAAAAAGTTTCATTTTAAAACTGCCATGTTTTAAAGATGTAATCCAAATGTAATCACGTAATTCTTGATCATGTAACTATAATCTAATGACACATTTCTACAGTTGTCTATTTTTTTGTTGTCTGACTACATAATCCCAACTACCACTCGCACTGTTAATAAACATACAGAAGTGTGGAGTTTTGCACAGTCCTCTGTTACAAGCTCTCTGTACTGACCGCTGCTAGGTCCCTGGTAGAGCGACGACGCTCGGCTCATTTTGGCGTCAAAGCTCTGGTTTGCACTGCAGTTACTGTCTTCATCTGCAGTCACTGTCAGTCTGCTGTCCTCATCTACGACCATAGCTGGAAATACCAGAGAAGAAGAAACGTTTTCAGAGCACCACATCTTCCTCTCTTCTCCCATAATCACCTCCCTCTCTTACTCCACTGCTCTGCTTATTGTTCGTACAAACCGTTGCCATCCTCGCTGTCAGTGAACTCTCTCTGTGGTACCGGTGTTCTTGTCCTCTGGGCTTTGGAGTAGATCTTCTAAAAATTAATCAAACACAGACCCACTGTAAGAAACTCATAAACATTTGATCTTAAACATAAATTAAGGATGAGGCTCTTATTAGGGATTTCCTCTGTCATTTTAATGTCTATATCTTAGGCTTGTGCTGCTTATTCCTCTAATTAACCCCTGATCTCCACAACCTGCCGGTGGGATTGAAAGGTTATCTAAAGAAATACCAAAATGACATCATTTGTTAGCCAGACACTGTCAGATACTCAACTTAAACATGACATTAATGTGTCATTCAATCAGGAAAATTATCATAGTCTAAGCCTGAAATTGTGATATCAGAATTACTTCATTCTCCGTGGCTTATTTAGAAATTCACAAAAATAAATAATAAAATAGAACATTTGCATCAGATACTTTAAAAAAAAAAAAAAAAATCTAAATATCGATAGTATGTAGAGTCACCCTTTATGCCCAGTATTAGTAACAGTTGCGCACACAGATGTTTTGCATTTTTGTGCAACAAATAATGTAAATAATATTAAATAATAACAAATAATCAAAGGAATTCAATGGTCATTTTGACTTTTTTATATAATTTATGTTATGATAATGGTGTGGCGGATCTTGACATCAAGTCCGGCAGCCCTCAGATGCTGTGACTGTGTCACTTTGGTGGTGTTGGTGGGAGACACAGGGTTGGGAGTGTTTTTAGACCATGAACTCTGTCAACAACCAGCCTGAGGAGGACTTGCATGGAAGCCACTGACGAAGGGTGAAGTGGCTTCATTATGAAGGGATATGACCGGCTGTTTATGAGCCAGGGAGGGAACACGCTTGGACTTTGTTCATGCAACCCAACTTTGCATTGTTGTCTTGTGTGTTCGTGAATGTTTGTGTCTAATTTCCTATTGAACAGTTTTCTTTTTGCTACTGATGAAGCGGTACATATCGCTGTCGCCTTATCGTTCAGGCCTAATCAGAACCAAAACTTTCTCAAGAGGTTATACTTCTACATCTTTCTACTGGTGGACTAAACACAAGAGAAACTAGTGGCCATACAGCAGAACCAAAGTAGACTCAACTTCTTGTCTTCGAGCAGGTACATAATTTACAATTCTGGCTTTTTGGAAGATCAAGATTGAACCTGTGATTACAAGCGTCAGCCGTACACATCCTCTGATTTGGTTAGACGGGAGGCCAACCACTTCAACACGAATGTCAACACTTAAACTTCATGTGACACAAACACAAAAACAAGGGCTGGTGCCTCTCAGGCTCTCAGCTGCCTTCCAATATGGTGGCAGCTGATAGAGATGTCACCCCCTCCCCATGAGCTGCGAGCAGACGGGTGGACCACCCTCCCGACGGCCTGATAAGAGAGGCAGCGCCCACTGAGACTGAGCGAGTGTGTGAACACGGACTGAGCTGTGGGTTTTAAACTGCTTGAATGTAAACAAAATTTAAAGAGACAGTTAAAACAGCAGCGGCTTTAACAGCTCTGATCAAAACTGAGCTGCGTTCAGAAGCAGGTCAAATACTACAGATGCAGTTTCATCTGTGTGACAGAGATTATACGTGTGGAGCAGCTTATTTAATTTCCTCCATCTTTGGTGAACATTAACAAAATACAACTAATAACACTGCTAATTGCCACCTAAGCTGGGTCTCTTGTCTTTTTGACAATGTGTATTTTGTTTAAAGATTGCCAAATGCTATCATTTGTCTTTTCTGCAAACCAAATCTACACACGGGTATTAATAAATATAACCTTGAGCCTGATCTTGACCTTGACCTGGAAACCTCAGTTTTCATTCAAATGTCAGAGAGAAAAACAACAGTTTCTATTAAAACTGTGTTCTGTGGATTACTGGTGTAACTGTTACATTTTTCAGTGTCAATCTTTCTCAATTCTGTCAGCAACACAAACAAAACCCCATTCCCCACCACTGTATTAAAGTGAAGGCAGAAATCTCAGAGACAGATGCTTCAAAATCTGTACTAATAAAACCAAAACTACAGTGTCTGCATTAAAAAAAACACACCAGCTGAGTTTCTGTTTTGTTGTGAATGTGAATATGTACAAATCAGCAATCAAAGCTGCAACTTGAATCCTCAAAAATGCTTCAAATCCTGAGTGGATTATAAGCACAAACTGACATGCAGTCACACAAACCAGGTAAAGACAAGTGTGCAAATGCAAACTTCAGCCACAGAGTCAGGATGCAGAACAGATGTAGAGAGCACAGCTTCTTCAACAAATGTGAATAAACTGAAACATGCAAAACGAGGAGTCAGGGCTGAAATGTTACAGCACAGCGTTACTCACTCCTTTGTTGCTACTGAGGCGCCTCTTCTTCTTCATGTTGTCTATCTCCTTCAGGACTGAGCTGGCAGCACTGCAGAGAGAACAAAGCGGAAATAAATATATAATAAATCTATATTGTCACAGTCATACCAGTATTTCTTTTTCAAACGTGGGAGAAAGTCCTAAAGAGAAAGCATAAAATAGCATACAGTAAACACAGTAAAAGTCAACAAGGTTTTTGCAGGGTTAAACATTAGACTTTAAATTTCCGACACTTTTTTTTAACCATCATACTGATCAAAGTACAAAAGACAGCAACATAAGCCAGCGTGTAAAATTAAGAATGACATGAAATCAGTCAATACTATTGATTTTTTCCATTGTTGATTATTTATCGATGATTTTCTCCACCTCAAACAGTTTCTAGCTGTTTTGTTGCTCCTGATACAATTTTTCCTCACTGTGGAGTCATTTTTCAATTCAATACAAAGTCCTGCACCTCTACTGAAACAACAGCAGAATGGCTAGAAGCAGAGAGAGCTCAAACATGTGCCGTAAAGCACAGTTATACTGCAGTAAGTCATAAAAAAGAAAGCTGAATTTCTCAATTATTCATTTTACAGAATTGGAAAAAAAAACTGAAAACAACAATACTCTACCAAGAAAAAAGGGAGCCGCAGTGTATCTGAAACTCTGGATGTTGTGGTTGATTTTTTTTTAAATGCTGTGTATCAGAATGGAAGCAGAAATCTTAAAAATAGACATCTTGCAATCTGGAATCAAGACCTTCTGCAAAGAAACTATATTAAATCTTTGAGTCAAGTATGAAGGAAAGAATAGCATGACGTATTGTGGAAGAAGAAGCAAACGTATTAAAAAGTGATAAATAAAACTAAAATTATCTGCAGGAAACTTTTAACCTGCACCGATATCTAGACTGTGGGGAATTTTGCAGAAACTCATCACTTTCAGAGTGTTACAGCCTAAACTGGCCCATGGTGTCTTACTTGGTGCTGATGCCGTTCAACATGTTGGGGGCCTGGTATCTGCTGGTCAGTTTGGTTGGTCTGGTGCTTCTCCTCAGCCCACTCCTCCTCTGCCCACTCCTCCTCAGCCCAGTCTTCCTTTCCCCACTCTTCCTCGGACTAATCTTTGTCTGCCCACTCTTCATCGGCCTGGTCTTCTTTTCCCCCCTCTTCCTCTGCCCAATCTTTCTTTCCCCACTTTTCCTCTGCCCGCTCTTCCTTTCCCCACTCTTCCTCGGAGCAGTCTTCCTTTCCCTACTCTTCCTCGGCCCACTCTTCCTTTCGCCACTCTTTCTCGATAAAATCTTTGTCTGCCCTCTCTTCTTCGGCCCACTTTTTCTCTGCACACTCCTTCTGCCACCTGGAAACAAAAGTAAACATTCATGAATGAATGCTGTCATAAACAATGTCACACAAAAGCTTGTTCATCAAATTTCTGGTATGACGTTCAAGATCACACATTTTGTTAATATTTTATGAAAGATTACTTTCATAATTCCTTTTTCTTTTTTTTTTTTCAAAAAATTCAAAAGATTCAAAATAAGAAATAAGTGTCCAAAGCAAAAGTCTTGCCATCCTGCATGCTCAGTATTTGGTAACACCACCACTGGCAGCATCACAGCCTGTAAACACATTTTGCAGCAGCTCAGAGTCGTTCAGTTCGTCTTCCTCCTAAAGGTTTCTAGTTATGTCAGATTCTTGGGCTGTCTTGCAGCTCTGCTCTTTAAGGTCTAACAGATTTTCCATGATGTTGAGATCAGATACTGTGAAGCCAAGACCTTGTGTTTTCACCTCTTGAGGTCATCCATTATGGATTTTCAAGTGTGTTTAGGATCATGAGACTGTTGTAGAAGCGCTCCTCTTTTCATCCACAGCTGTTTTACAGATGTTGTGAAGTTTGCTTCCACAATTTGTTGCTGTTTAATTGAATACATTCTTCCCTGTACTAGTGAAATCTTCCCTGGACCGCCAGCTGCAACACAAACCCAAAGCATGATGGATCTAACCCTGTGCTGAATAGCTGGAGGCCTGTTCTCTTTGTTAAATTCTGCACCTTTTTTTCCCCAAAACATTGCTCCTTACAGCCAGAAAGTTCTGCTTTAACTTCATCAGTTCACAAGACTTGTTTTCAGAATGCAGTTTCTGGCAACTGCCACTTCTTAATTACAATGGAAGCTGAGGAAACAGCTCTCTGAAATCACATTACTATCATCTTACAGTTTCTTCTGCTTTGTGGGCATCAGTTTCAGTCAAATGTTCAGACTGCTGGGCAGCTGCTTGGAGACAGGCTGCTGATTGTTGGGACAACATTAGAGGAGCTACAGTGCCTATACAGCTCTGAAACTTCTTAATGATGACTAATCAGCCAATTAAGGTCCCCCAAATTTTGCTTCTTTGACTCTAAAATTATACAAAAACAAACAAATAAATAAATAAATAAATAAAACAATGATGTTAGTTAAAACCATGTTTCTTCTTCAACTTTCCACCTTTAAGAGATCAGTTCATCTTCTACTCACCTTATCATGAACAAGGACAGAAACTTGAACCACTGCGTGCACTGAGTTTGTAATATGTTGCAACAAAATGCCAGTTTATGCTGGCCACTTTATTGGTAACCAATGTCAACTTTAATGTTATCCAATACAGCAGCTCGACCGTTAAGTGTGTAGGTTGAAATTTAATTGTATGAATATTACTCAGGCTGTAGCTTGTCCATATATGAAATAAATGGGTCACCCTTTGGGCTGTTGTGAAGTGCTATATAAAAAAACTTTGACTGATTGCTTGATTGATTTATGTCCTTACCTGGAGACTTCTGAATCTTTGAGGATTTCCTAATAACACAAAACAACATTCTCTGTGAGAAAACATTCAAACCGGTACTACAGAATGATTCTGTTACATTATACACTGATTCAAGTACTGCACTTCAGTCCAGTCTCAAGGTGATTGTATTTAACTCAAGTATTTCATATCATCTGTACTCCTCTATCTTGTCTTGTCTTCTTCACCTCTGTTCAGGAGGAAATATCTGACTCTATTACATTTGTGTAACAGATACAGTTACTTTTCAGATCTTAACTGGACATAAATACATATGAGTGAATTCAATACAATTCATTGCACCAGACTGAACCAGTGGAGCCCAATTATTTTGGGCTCCTTGCATAAAGAGTCCAATTGGGGCTATTGGGGTATTTTTTAAATAGTGGTACTTTTACTCAAGTAATACTGATGTATACGTTTGTGTACATATACACATACACTTCACACAGTCAGAAGTATTTTGAAAAGGACACAAAAAGACCAGGTACTCAAATGTACAAACAGCAGATTTTTAACCTATTATTTTCTATCAACTACCTTTCAGTTAACTGACTGATCATTTCCTCTCTAAACTTGGTTTTTAAAACATCATTTATTTATAGCTTTGGTTGTACCTCTTGACAGTCTTTGCTGATTTCGCACCTCCATCCCGGCGTGTTCCTGAACCAACGCGATTCTGTCCTTTACGCTTGGCGATTAATCCCTAAAGAACATTTCACAGCTAGAAGTCAGTGTCATACCCACCACAAATTCATACCAGCATAATATCCACACAGGCAACGCTGCACACATCTACTGTATGTTCACAGTTTACTGTCAAGGAGTAAAGTACTGTTTATTTTCTAAAATATTAATTAAAGACATGCGGACTGCTTCTAGATGTGTTGAGGGTTTTAAACCTTTATATTTATGAAGCAACTATTTACAGTGCTATACAACTGTACAACAACAAGCTGGATGATGTAACTTAGAGCCAGGGTCCAATATTGACCCTGAAAGTCTGAAAGAAAATAACATACATATTCTCTCAATTTTTAAAGCGTGAAAGCCTTGTGTTTGTTAACTTTTACGGTGAAACAGTGTGCATTACATACTTTTAGCGTACATAGAAACTTTGCATACACAAAATTTAAAAAACAACCCAGCCCCCTTCCCATTAAAAAAAAAAAAAAGACACCAAAACAAAGCTGTAGTTTATTAATAAAAAAGTTGACAAAAGTGCAATTAAATAATTAAGATAATCAGGTAAAAGTTGAGTCATTAATGACTCAATACACAGATACAGATTAATGGGTGGTTATTATTATCAGTACCATTTTTGGCTACTAATCAAGTTTAAAATATATCAGTATTGCAATGCTAAAAACTACAATTGTTAAAAGTAAAGGTTCTGAATTTTAACTTTTTTATGCTGGATTTGCTGGATGCAAATTAACAACTATCTGTATTTTTAGGCTGTTGAATCTGTAACAGAGCTTCACATTTTAGATCATGTATTGTGAACAAAATCTAAATCCATCAAGTAAAAATTTTAAAAAGTGGAGTTAAAGGCAGAAAATTTACATGATTTTACATGAAGTCAAAATGTAAAGGAGAATAAATCAAAAATACTCCAACAAATACCTCAAAATTGTACTTAACTACTTGAGAAAATTTACTGAGTTACATTCCACTATAGATCATGATATTATAATATTTTAAAAAGTATGATTTAATGTTATTTACAAAATTCATTCAACCTTTATGGCGACCTGTCCAGGGTGTCCCCTGCCTTCGCCCTAAGTCGGCTGAGATAGGCTCCAGCCCCCCCACGACCCTAGTGACGATTAAGCGGTGTATAGATAATGGATGGATGGATTCAACCTTTATTCAAACTCGGAATACACTATGGTATGGAAGACTTGTTTAAAAAAAGCTAGAGTTAAAGAAAAAATAACTTACATATATAACAATGAGAGTAAAAATCTAAAAATATGAAAGGTGAAGTTAGTATAGTAGCAAAAACATTATTTACAGCATTTAACTTTTTTTTTTAAACATAAAAACAACTAAAACAAGATCAGCTGGGAGTAAACTGAGTACATGCTGTAAAACATAGAGGTTGCTGTTTCAATGATTATTATTTCAGTCACTGTAGTGTGCAATATTTATTTTTTCATTTGCAATATTTCAATTTCGTGTGCAAATCTCATTATCATGTGTGATATTATTTACCACCTCAGAATCGTTGCTAGTATTCCGTTTGACTTTCTGTTCCATAGCTTTATGTTAGCTTATTATGTTTTCAGCAGTGTATTGAACCTACAGCTTACTGATTTTCTGCTAGACACAGTTTTTCTTATCTCGGGTCATTTTGTTTCTGAGCAATGTCTGACTTCATGACAAACACCTTCCTAATAAGTTTCTGGAAGATTTATATTCTTTCTCCGCAATGATAAAAACTAAATTTGTCTAGTTTTCAAGTAAACTGAAGTTGCAACTTTGACACGTTAATCGGTTTTAACAGCTTGAATCTTTGCTTCTGACAAACTGACTAGAAACTGACTGAGGCTTCCGTAGAGAAGCTAAACACACAGCCACACTCACCTTCGACGGTCCAGATTTCTTTGGCCGGGTCACCTTGCTCTTTTTTCGGTTCCCCGGCTGAGCCCGGGTCTTGGAGCTCTTTACCGGTTTGTACTGTCGCCGCAGCGGCCCGCTTTTCCGTTTCGCGTCCCCCCTGCCTCTGCCTCTGCCGCCGGCCGTCACCATGGTAACCAAGCACGAACAAGCTAACACGCGGAGAGGGTTGGTGCTAGCTTACCGGCAGGTTAACGACAAAGGTGTAAAAAAAAAAAAAAAAAGGCCAAGCATCAGAGTAAAACACCTCTGAACGTCTGAGGGTCGTTTTGCTGAGATGTAGTCCGTTTGTGGAGGCAGAGCTGGAACTGAAACACGCCCCAGGCACACGCTTGATAAGCGGACAGGCTCCGGTCAAACCGCAGTGTCGATTCAAAACGTCGACTTCTGCCGCCGCCTAGTGACGTCATGGCGTAACGTGCGTGAGGCGTACGGATAAACAACAACAAAAAACAATGACTTTTAACCTTTTTAGTCATTTATTTTAATTGCTACAAGTAAAAACATTATCATTTCTTGTTTATTCTCCGTGTGTGTTCTTGTGGAAAATTATTATTATTATCTGGACACATTTGTCGCTGTTTAATTTTTAAACTAGTCAGGTACATGTGGTTTTTATCTTATTTTTTACAAGAAAGCACTTATGTCAAAGTCTGTTGTTTTAACTGTTATATAAAATAGGCCTTTTGTTGCTTTTTAACAAACAAATAATGGAAATTAGCTTTAGAAGAAGTAAACAGATCTTGTATATATGTACATGAAAAGGAACAGAAAGTTTAAACTAAGCAGAACGACCCATTTCAGACAAATATACCTTATATTATCAGATTGTATATTTCAGTATGTTAAAATGTACATTACTGTGACAGTTCATAAAAGTATCTTTGACTTTATATTCCGCTTCATATTTAGCTCCAACAGATCAGAAGGGTCTTACCTTCATTGATTAGATTCTGTATTATTAATCTGATTCTGTCAGATGAACACCATTACGTAACAAATACAATTGTCTTTAAAGTGTGAAAAGGTTAAACAACATCTGTCAAATAAATGTAATGCAATAAAACGTGTGGTGCAGAACAAAGAACAAAGCTGCATGAAAACAGAATACTCTAGTACATCACAAACGTGTTCTTAAATTCAGCGCTTCTGTTTTGTCTAGCTGACGGCCATATCATCAGTAAAATGTGGTTTTTCACTGTGTAAAATGACATCTTCCTACTGAAAACACTACTTCTAAAAACGTACTTGCTACAGTTAAATTTAAATCAGATCAAAATGGAATTATGTCTAAAAAACAAATCAATACAACAACCACAGAGTGAAATGAAAATTTTACTTATGAGAATACTTCATCCCACTAATTCACAGAAGCCCATTCAAAAAAACAGAAAACGTAAGAAACACTTGTAATGATTATGTAGTTTATTTTAAAAGAAATAAGGCAGAAAAAGAACTAAATCCTGTAGTAGGAAGTAATTACATTTTAGCAGAGGCTGCACATATTAAAAAGTTGGCAGAACTGTCTCACCATCAATGTCATCTTATAGTGTAATACAGCATGTGAAGCTTCACAATCCTCAACAGATTTCTGACAAATTCACAATTTGTTAATACAGTCAAATAAACAGCTTTATCCTGAGGAGTGCACTTTATGATGTTGCTGTTTTTTGTTTTTACCAGTAAATTTCATTGTATCTATTAATTCATCAACAGCTGAAGAGAAACTCAAAAACACACAAGAAAAAATGTATATATTACATTTGCACAAGATAATCACACTTTTCATGATGAATAATATCTTTAAAAAGTATAAGGCCTGTAGGTTCCACACATTTCTCACAAAACAGCTGCATTCCATTATAGCTACTTTGTTTAAAAAGCTCAATAAAATGAAAACTGTGTTGACAGGAGAGTAGGAAATGCACAAAAATGTATTTTTTTATTACTTCTTCCTGCTTTAAACTTTACTACCTGCTGATTTTTTTATCACTTTCAGCGTATTACAATGATACCAGTGTATTCAAAATGGTTGCAGACTTCTGTCCCACTGATCCACTGATCCATAGTTTGTAGTAAATTGATTAAGTGAAACTGCACTTAAATCTCTGTTTCTTTGTTGCTATTTCTCCTTTTTGGCGCACCTTTCTATTGCTCTTTAGTGCATTTTTATTTAGTTCATTTTTAAGATTGTCCGGTTCTTTCAAACATTCAAAAATCATGATTTGCTCATCAGGAAGCTCCTGCTGAGAACATGTCAATAGGCCTGACAGTAATTAGTCTAATTTGGTATAAAATTAGGTAGTAACACTTTTCCAAAAGTTGGCTTCCTTATTTCTCCTCTTCTCTTGCACAGAGCTGGCTATAAGTGATTTCGAGTCAAACCACCATTAAAGATCCCCACAGTTACGACGCATGTTCAGCTTTGAATTCACATTTAACTTCTTCCCTGTGGAAGAAGCCCACCTGACCTATGACCTGAATAAT